GTCTGTTAAGGATGGCCTCTTTGATTATCTTTTCCAAGACCTTCCCCAGGATAGAGGTCAGGCTGATGGGGCTGTAGTTTGCCAGATCTACTTTCCTCCCTTTCTTGAAGATAGGCACCACATTGGCCTTCTTCCAATCTTCGGGCACTTCACTAGAGCACCAGGAGTTCTCAAAGATCCATGCCAGGGGCTGAGCTATGATGCTTGCCAGCTCCTTGAGTACCCTTGGGTTGTAAACCATCAGAGCCAGCTGACTTGAAGGTACCTAGCCTGTCAAGGTGTTCCTTCACGAGGTCAGCCTCGATGGAGGGTAAGGAATCTCCCTCACCCGGGCCTCCCTGACCCACAGTGGGCAGGGGCGTCCCATGGGACTGGTGAAAAACTGACACAAAGTACCCATTTAGCAAGTTTGCTTTTTCCTGGGCATTGTCCCATCTGGTTTAGCAGGGGTCTAATGTTGCCCTTGCTTTTCCTCCAGCTCCCCACATATCTAAAAAAGGACTTTTTATTGTCCTTGATATTTGTAGCTAGCTGGAATTCCATTGCAGCCTTGGTTTTCCTGGTTTGCTCTGTGCGGGTCCGGACCAGAGCAGAGTATTTCTCCTTGGTGGTGGTTCCAGTCCTCCATCCTTTGTAGGTCTTCCTTTTAAGATGCAGGAGGTCCACTAGTTCTCTGGAGAGCCAAGGGGGCTGCTGTGCCCTTTTGCTGCCTTTCCTCCGAGACGGAATAGACTTTGCTTGCGCATCCAGGATTGTATCCACTCATCCTGAACTCCCCTCCCTTTTTGGCTGTGGCCCTGTAGGGCCTCACTGACAAGCCTCTTTAGCTTGTCAAAGTCAGCTTTCCTGAAGTCAAGGACTTCTGTATTACTGACTTGCCAGCTTTACAGCAGATGGTGAAGGTGATCAGCTAATGGTCACTGTCACCCAGCTTCCCTTCAATTGTTAGGTTGCTGATTAGGTCATCCCTGGCTGCCAGTACCAGGTCAAGCAGCGCTTTACTTCTCATCGTCCTGTAGATTTCCTGTGTCAGATAGAGGTCATCCACACGCGAGAGAAAGCTTTGCGACTGCTCAGATTTGGCTGAGCACTCCTCCCACAAGATATCTGGGTAGTTAAAGTCTCCCATTACAACTATACACTGGGAGCGCACGGCCTCAGGCAATTCCCTGGCAAACTCCTGGTGAAGGTCTTGACCATGGGTAGGGGGTCTGTAGTAGACTCCCACCACAGTGTCCCCTGCACTGTGTTCCCCACAGATTTTAACCCAGAGGGTCTCGAGTCATCCACCGTGGGTGCCAAAGTCGGCTTACAGGGATGCGTAGCTTTCCTTGACATAGAGAGCTACATCCCCACCCCCTTTGTCCACTCGATCCCTCCTGTGCGAAGTATAGCCATCTATACCTGTGGTCCAGTCATGGGTACAGTCCCACCAGGTCTCTGTTATCCCTATGATATCATAGTTATTTGCATTAAACAGGAGGACAAGTTCCTCCTGTTTATTCCCCAAGCTCCT